GGGGTCAGCCTTTGATTTTGTGCTCATTGCTACAATGCTACTCATCTTTTGATTGATTGCGCAGGTTTGTATGCCTATCTCCTTCCACGTTGTCTCAAGCTGCGCCCGAAAAAAATCAGCGTATTTTTGGCGGACAACATGCAATCTTGGCCTACACGTGTTACACTGTTTCTCAGACCCACTAGCTTTGCTGCGCTAATTTACATCAGAAGTTATTTTAAACTAAATCCTGAGCTTCACTGCTAACATAGGTTGTGCCATGGCACATACGAACTAGATATCGTATGACCTCTCTGTCTCATGCACAAATTAGTCAGATTTGTTACGGAATCGTCTTATTTCTGCCCTGCTTATTTCTGATAGTTTTGCCTAAACGTAAAATTACTTTAGTTTCGTATACTTCCTCTATGTCTTGGACTGCCTTCTTCAGTCCTGCTCATTAATCCCAAATTTCTCAGAGTCAACATGCCTCTCATTGCTGTCTGTTACTAAATATTAGCAACCGCTAAACTAATTTATGTACTGCTTGCGGTTGATTTTGTTTAACATGTATCCATCTGTGACCTGGATATACCAGCAAATCATGACACATTCTTGCTGTTCTGCCTCAGCTTTGGACCATGGCATTGGGGCTAAATAATGCAGCTCTTGAACCATACGATGTCTCAGCTCTGAAATTATCATGGGACATTACAACAAAGGTTTGTTCCTTCTTACTTCTCAGGGTTGGTGTTATACTTTCGAATTTGACCATCTTATTCTTAAGCGATCAAAATGATTGTGATTTATCAATGAATTGCTTTGCCACAAAATTTTACTGTCAAATTGGAAAATGACAACAGGGTTGGTGTTGTACTTTCGAATTTGACCATCTTATTTTTAAGCGATCAAAACGATTGTGATTTATCAATGAATTGCTTCGCCACACAATGTTACTGTCAAATTGGAAAATGACGACACATTACAGCCAGAAACTAGTTATAAAAACAATCTGCATTTCAATGACCGTGTGATTTTCCCATTACCAAACATGATAACTCTGGCACTAATTTGTTTCTAACATGGCAAGACATAAATAGTACTCTGGCACTAATTATCATTCTTGCCAAAAAAGAAAAATTGTTATACATTGTGTATATTGGGAGTGTTCGGCTGGACTGAACTTTGCACTGTTCATGCTGGAAAAACACTGTTCAGGCTGGAATATTGTGAGAGAAAAACACTGCTTCGGCTGGAAAAAAAAAGCAACCAGCCAGCCGAACACTCTGGTTGTCAGTCTGCTGCCCGCGCAAAGCGCGGGGTTACCCGCTATACTTTTGGGCTATGCTTCTTATATCAAATGATTTTGTTCCTCCATAAAACCCTCACACTAGCAAAAGGGATCAGCGCCTTATCTTTTCCTTTGTTTATGCTCATTACATTGTACAAGCGTTAGCGGTTTTAATTGAAGATGTCTGATCCCTTTTGAGCTAATGAATGACTGCCCATGCAGCAGCATAAGCCTTTTTATAAATGATTGCCTGATATTTGCACCAGAAATTTCTCCTTCATATTGTGTCCTTCAACAACAACCTGTTACAAAGCTGTACCCTACTAGGTTCTAACTCATGTTATGCTATTTTAATTCAGAGATACGTTCATGAAATGATCATATACATGGAAGGGCTGCATATATTACCCAACATTTACAATCCAGGTTCCAACTCATGTTACAACCGTTTCCTTTTGTTCTCACATTTTCTCGACAATCTGTTTGGTATTTAGTTGCTGACTTCCTGCTGCTATTTGCAGGAACTTATTTGATATGCTGATTCCATTTGATAAGGCCTGATAATCTTTACCTTACAATACTTGGTGGCCTTATGTTCATGGAGTCCATGTGGATCATTCTTCATCTTCGTTTTCGTTTTATGAACACAAACTGGTCCTGGTCAGCAGTTTTATTTTTGTCCCCCACTTACAGTCTTCACAGGTTGATCCTAGGTAAATTTGATTTGCTCCCTTTTTTCTATGTTGGTTGCTTCCTTAGAACCCAGGACTACAAGGATCAGTTTGCCAGTTTCCAACTGCCTCACAGTTCCCTAGAGATCAATTAGTTAGTACTCGAAAGTTTATTGATGATGCTTCTCCGCTCACTTAGATCTTGGAAGAAGGAACAAGGATGCTTCAGATCTTCGATTTCGTTCGTCGCTACAACATCAACGGAGCCATACACATTGGAGGTGCAGGCCGGCTGCTGCTTTCTTAGTTCGTTATTAGTAGAGCACTATGTCTATATGTGTGTTCCATGTGTTCTGTGCTTTCAGTTTTGCTTCATTTACAACCATGAATTTTGGTCGTATTATTAACTTCACACCTAATGGAACTGACATAGGAGATTCTCCGGTCGTTATTGTAATCTTCTAATTTGTATTACCCTTTATGTTTCCGAGATTCGCTCATACCTTTCCAACCAAGCATTTTAGACGTTTGTTCACCGTTTAATGTAACGATTATTGTACTATACCTTTTCCCCACCTATTTTGCATCCCCCCCCCCCTATATACATATACCTGCCAGTATATGTATATATATCACAGTTATTACTTATTAGCGTAAGGTAAATAATTTCCTGCTGAATTGCAGCAGCGAATTGGGCGGAATATTTTTTTTTGAGGAAATTGGGTGGAATAAATCGATCCGTCTACTTTGTGCCAAATACTTATGTTTGTTTTGCTGAAATTTAGCTTATGCTGATGCTTATGTTAAAATGCTGTGAGAAAAAAATACGGTTTGGTTCGCTGAAAAGCAGTGCACAGAACAGAGGAAACCCCAACGGTGATCGGGAGGTTAAGCCCATGCAACTTCGATCGGCCCAAGTACAACGACAGCTAAGTACACTTTAGTGGGCCCAAGCAGTGGGGTTGTTTCGTTCTTCGTACTAAAATTTAGTTCCTGTCACGTCAGATATTTAACATTAATTTAAAGTATTAAATATAGATTAATTATAAAATTAATTATATAGATTAAAATAAATTTACTAAATAAATTTATTAAACCTAATTAAATCTATGTTTAGTCTTTTTAATTAGTATCAAATACCCGATATAACATCTACTCAACTTTGGTCCATGATCTGTGAAAAAGAAACAGAAAAAAACAAAACAAAACGAGGTGAAGTGCAACTCGTATCGAAGCCTACAGTAGAGCCTGGTCCTCGGCGTGCCGGCACAACTTCGCATGTTGAGTCTTTAAGGCTAGTATAAACAATTCGCTCAGAAGCATTTAAACTTGGGCTTTACGTGCCCTCCTCCTGGTTGGTTCCAAAGCCGGGCTCCCTCGTATCGTACTTGCAGCCCATTAAAGAAAAGGCTACCTGACAACTGACACGGCAGCAGGTGGATACGAAAGCCGGGGCCCGCATGGGGCTCTAGTCAACGTTGTCAAATACGGATGCGTCAGCGTCACGGCTCCGCTCTAGCGTCTGTACTCCTGGAGTACTTCGTACTACTACTCCAATCACCTCGTATCGTACGGAGTATACCTCACTTCATTCAATATTTCTGGTGTTTAAATTCATAGGGGCGCGTTTAGTTCGGCACGGTGCACGATTATCTACGGTAGTATTTCGTTTATATTTGTGAATTAATGTTTAAACATTGACTAATTAGGTTCAAAAGATTCGTCTCGCAAAGTTAAAGCAAACTGTGCAATTAGTTTTGATTTCGTCTACATTTAGTACTCCATACATGTACCACAAGTTTGATGTGACGGAAAATCTTCTTTTTGCATAGTGCATTTTTGGAGAATTAAATAAGGGCTAGAGTAAAGTTTTAGGATGTCATATCAAATGTCAAGATGTCACACGGAAGTGTTGGATAGTAATAATAAACAAATTACAGAAATCCTCAGTAATTCGCGACACGAATTTATTAAGCATAATTAATTCATCATTAGATCATGTTTACTGTAGCACCACATTGTCAAATCATGAAATAATTAGGCTTAAAAATTTGTCTCGCAAATTAGTTATAATCTATGCATTTAGTTATTTTTTAGTCTATATTTAATACATCATGTATATGTCTAAACATCTTACGTGACAGAGAGAGTAAACTTTAAGAAGAGAACGTAAACAAGTCTTCATTTGTGATTTTATACTCTATACCCGTCGGGGCTCGCTTTTCAGTTACGAGGCAGTATTAATCGAAGGAGCCCGGCAGATGGCAGTGGCACAGCGACTGAGCGAGCAAGCGAAAGCAATTCGCGTCGGATGCCTGCTTGCCTAGCATTTGGAAATTGGAATTTCAAAAATTTCTGCGAGGTGTATCTCTCCTTTTCCACGGTGACCCTGGCCCCAAACCCTCGTGGTTTCTCAGAACCTCATTCAAATCACATACTCCGTATACTAGTAGTGGTACCAGCAGTAATAGCGTAGTAGTGACTGTAGCACTATGAATGACAAAAAACCATCGCAGGGGGTAAAAGGTCCAAACCAAAAGATGACCGGAGACGCACGATGCCCGAGGGAGAGCGACCGTTGCGTTGGCAGCCGAAAGCTAGCCGCCACCGAGGCCAAGCAGTCGCTCTCCCCGGTTTCAAATTTAAATCCCCCTCCAAATCACCCACCAATAAACAACAAATCGCCCACTGGTCAGGCCTGTTTTAGTTTCTCTTTCTAAAATTTAGTTCCTATCTTATTGATGTTTAACACATACTTAGAGTATTAAATATATACTAAAAAATAATTAAATATATATATTAAAACTAATCTGTAAGACGAATTTTTAAACCTAATTAATCTATAAATTAACAAGATGAGTAAACATTTGTTAATATAAAAATATGAAGAATTTTTATAATTTATTTTATTATTACTACGTAAACGCTTCCGGACGTGAGCCTGGATTTAAAAAGGCCTCAGTTCGTCCACCGAGCTGTCGCTGTCCGCTGCGCTGCGCACCCCCGCGTTCCGGCTCGCCAACAGAGCCTGCACTCTACTGCAGAGGCCACGCCCGGCGATGGCGACCGCCACCACGCCCAACCCCAAGGTGACGACGACAAGGGCCAGGAGGGAGCCGCTGCGTCCGCGGAGCAACAACGCCGCCGCGTCTCCGGCCGTGGCGAGGGCCAGGCCCAGGCGCGGGCCGGCGGCATCCGCGGAGAAGGAGAACCAGCGGACGAAGAGCCTCGGCCACAGGAAGGAGGAGGAGGACAAGGGGAAGGCGGCGGCTGCGGCGACGACGACCGCCGAGCTGTCGAAGCCCGCGGAGCCGGCGCCGGCGGTGGTAGCACCGCCTACGCCTACGCCGCCGCCGCTGAAGCCGTCGTCGCTGCAGCTCCGCATGAAGGACGAGGCGGCCAAGGCGGCTGCGCAGGCGCCGCCCGCGTTCGTCGTCGGGCCCCGGGGCAGGGAGCTACTGCTCCCGCCGCCGTCCTCCAACTACGAGGCGTGGGACCTCTCCGACAGCGAGTCCGCGCCGGCCTCCTCCTGGGCCACGCTCCCCAACAGGTACGCCGCGCCGCGCCGCGCCGCCGCCGCCGCCGCGGGACCACGCAGCGGATAGTAACAATGCTCCCTCTTTCCGCTGTTCCTGCAGGGCGCTGCTGTGCCGGCCACTGCCGCAGGACGTCGGCCGGTGCACGTGCGTCATCGTCCGGGAGGCGGCCTCCGGCGCCAGAGGCGTCGCGCTCTACTCCCTCTACACCAACGTGAGTTGGCCTCCGACCTGCATTGTTTGAAATCCGCAAGGCGATGTCAGAGCGATACGAGGTTAATTTGTGTTTGTGGAATGGCGCAGGAGGGGCAGGGGCGGCAGGACCGCAAGCTGGCGGTGGCGCGGCACCGGAGGAGGAGGGGAAGGTCCGAGTTCATCGTGGCGCAGAACCAGGACGGCATCTTCTGCACCGCCGACAACAACTTCCTCGGCACGGTGGGCGCCAACCTGGTCGGATCGAAGTACCAAATCTGGGGCCAGGTACATCCACACCTCAAATCATGCTTCTTCCTGATTGCGTTTGAGCGCTTGATGAGCCGATGTTCATGGCTGGCAGGGGAGCCGAGCGGACGAGCTGAAGAACCAGTCGAAGCGGCTTCTTGGCGTTGTCGCGTAAGATCCGACCGACCTCAGAATCCATCAGGAATCAGTCGCTCCCTTCCGGAATGCTTCTTGACCCACAATTTTTGGTTCCTGCAGGTTTGCCCCCACCATCACCACGCTCACCGGGAGTTTCAGAAGCATGAGCGCATGGATCCCCAAGAACCAGTCCATGCAGCTCAAGACCAACAATTCTTCTCAGGTAAAGTTCAGATGAAAATTTTTCAACATTCAGCGAGGTAATTTGGAAGGAAAAAGTCTACTTAACCCCCCACCTTTCATACTTGGTCTATTTCACCCTCCAAACTATGAAACCGTCTGTTCAGGGGGTAAAACAGACGGTTTCATAGTTGAGGGGTGAAGTAGACCAAATATGAAAGGTGGGGAGTTAAGTAGACTTTTTCCTAATTTGGAATCAGGCAGATGGTTCTTAGTGACTATGGAAGTTTGCAGATTCAGCATGTCAGTGGGCTCCCAAAGGATTGGCAGGAGAAGAAGAGCAGAGCTGACCCATTGTGCTCAAGAGCCCCGTTCTACAACCATGTAAGGAGTTCATGACAGCTTGTTTGATGCGTATTCCTCGGAGTGGTATCTCAACTCTCAAGAGGCAAGCTGATGATTGTTGATTTGTGTTGTTATGGTTCCGTGTGCCTCTTCACGACAGATGACAAAGCGCTACGAACTGGACTTCAGAGAGAGGGCAGGAAGGATGGGGTACAAGGTGCAAACATCGGTCAAGAATTTTCAGATGATTTTGGAGGTAACATTTCATTTGTCTGGTTATACGTATCACAGCAGTCATAAGATACATGAAACTTTGCTTGGCAGAAAAACGGGAGGCAGACAGTGTTGCAGCATGGTAGGGTTGGGAAATCCAAGTACATAATGGATTTTAGGTAACAAAAAAAAAAGCCTCACCCAAAATTACTCCAGTGCTTTCGGTCCAATTGCGAGATCAGTTTCATATCAGAAAAATGTGTTCTGCAGATACCCGCTGACCGGCTACCAAGCGTTCTGCATTTGCCTGGCATCGATCGACGCAAAGCTGTGCTGCACCCTGTGAAATGGGAGCCATGCGAGGATGGAGTGTTTGTTTTTGACCTTTAGTAGCTGATGTAATCTAAGCGGTTCTGTACTTCCAGTCTTCCAGCTTCTCACCTTGAGAAGGCGGCGGCGGCGGCGGCGGCAAAGCGGGTGGCTATAGAGTTGATATCCATCAGAAGCAATCAAGTTTTAGTCACGTGAATAGTTGTCTTTTAAGTATTTCTATTTAAGGCTAAGTTTTTAGGTATATTTTATCCTTCCAAGTCTTTTTTTTATTGTCTCTATTTAAGTCAACTTCGGTCTTCCTCTGCCTCTCTTCACATTACTATTTTGGCTTAGGATTCCACTACGCACCGGTGCCTCTGAAGGTCTTTGTTACACATGTCCAAACCATCTCAACCGGTGTTGGACAAGCTTTTTTTCAATTGGCGCTACCCCTATTCTATCACATATATCATCGTTCCGAATTCGATCCCTTCTTGAATGACCGCAAATCCAACGCAACATATGCATTTCCGCGACACTTAGCTGTTAAACATGTCGTCTTTTCGTAGGCCAACATTATGCACCATACAACATAGCTGGTCTAATCGTCGTCCTATAAAACTTGCCTTTTAGCTTCTGTGGTATCCTTTTGTCACATAGGACACCAGACGTTTGCTGTCACTTCATCCACCCTGCTTTGATTCTATGGCTAACATCTTCATCAATATCCTCGTTCCTCTGTAGCATTGATCCTAAATATCGAAATATATCCTTTCTAGGCACTACTTGACCTTCCAAACTAACATCTTCCTCCTCCCGAGTAGTAGTGCCGAAGTCACATCTCATATGCTTAGTTTTAGTTTTATTGAGTTTAAAACCTTTAGACTCCAAAGTCTCCCGCCATAACTTCAGTTTCTGATTCACTCCTGTCCAACTTTCATCAACTAGCACTACATCATCCGCGAAAAACATACACTAAGAATCAAAGCTGACCCTTGATGACCCTTGATGGTGTCTCCGCCACTTTCGAACTAACAAGCAATACGCGATTATCCTTTTGCAACTTGGGAGTGTTATTTAATCGGTCAAGCAATGTTTTATAATAGAAATAGCAAACAAGTCTAGTTACATCAAACCGTCGTCGTTTATACACTCGACCTATCTGCAGTTCTGCACTCATCATCCACACATGCGGGCAGCTTGTTGCAAACACATCGTCAATTCGTCATCCTCCCTTTTGGTGGTAGTTGATCCTTGTACTTCCGCCAAGCCATACTTGTGTTGTACTTGCATCCTATGCATACAGGAGCAGAACTGATGTTTACCACTACACGCTGATGAATGGGAAGACACAACTGTAGCAATCTACTTAAGTGTGTTCAGCTACATGTATTTAAATGTAAAAGGCGACATGTAATATAGGTCTTGCACAAAGAAATCAATTCAAATGACTGTCAGCTCCATATCAACTCTGAGTAGTCACTCGGAACTTCCAATCTTGATCAATGTGGGTCAGATGTTGACGAAGGCTGTCAAGGTTCAAAAGAAAGAAATCACCCCAGACGTGAGCCACTTGCCATATATGTTTACCGAAGGATAATCAACCAGAGGATGGCTGAGTTCTCACCGTATGAAAACTATTCCCGCTTAATCTTCCTCACCAGCATGCTCCAGCAGATAGTTTGCTGCTAGCTCCGCATTCCTACCGCAGGCAAAGAATGCTTCAATAACGCGTGCTCTGTCGAACCCCATGGATTCAAGCTGAATATACAAAAACAAGCCAAAACATGATTATGTGATCTCAAATATCTATGAAGTTGGAGGATAGCAAGTTGAACAAATGCGTGCTTACCCGTCCAATGGCCTCCTGCTCCTCTGGTGTAACACTAATAGCATGAGGCATTTCATCCTCCTCAGGTTGGTCTAAGAAATCCCTAGAGATTTCGAGGAAATGGGCAGAAGAAATGAGATAACACTATCTATTTATAAAATCAGTAAACAGCAATTCACACAATACCAGAAATCTATGACAATTGGCAAGTGGTGATGAAGCAGACAACCCAAACAAAGGGGGAAAAGTTAATCAAATAAGAGGATGCTTACCCCTCTCCACCTTCAAAGGGCTCATTTAGTAACTGAAGAAACTCATCATGATTCTCCTCAATCAGCCTTAGAATTTGAGGATTCTGCTTGCTCAACTCAACTAGCATAGGCTATAACATGATACCAGCAAAAAGTTCAGGCAGGTGCTACACAAGAAGTCATAGAATGTAAGCCAAAACAAAGAATACAAAACCTGCAAAATTTCTGGATTTGTATGCACCATTTCCCGAACTGCTTGAAACTGCAAAATAATTGATATGCTCTTAATTCATATTTAGAACAATGAGGTTTCTTCCTTAATAAACTGAAGTAATCCCACCCTGCCGATCCCAAATATAAGTCCATTTGCACTTGGGGCTAACATTAAGGTGAGGGGTACAATGACCATGTTGCACATCAATCATTATTGTGCATTGCATTGATTAGTGTGCATTTAAGTAGGAGTACACATGGAAGAATGAAGCAAAAGGTTGCATTGGAGTTATTGTTGATTTTTATTTGGGGCATTTAGGAGAAGGTTAGATGGACATATATTTGGGGTTTCATTCCAAACAAAAGATTCAATAAAGTTTTACAAAGCTCATGTTCGCACCGCATTGGGATAAGGTCCATCCCTGCACAATACGTTACCGTAAGATTAGTGAGAAAACAGGTGTGCTAGATGAGGCTGTTACAACTTACTACTATGGGCACCTTATTTTCTAATAGTATATTTCAGTATGTAGGGGGAATAATAGAGAATTAACCCAAAAATCTTAAACAACAAAAATTAAAATGAGAACCTGTTGATTGTTTCTAAGAAAATCAAGTGGTCCACCACCAGCACCACCTCCAGCATTGGAACCCCCCTGCTGAATTGTTTAATGGTCAATAGATGCTTCAACATGCAGTGATAATGATTGAACCACATAAAGTACACCTGTGGGAAAAGATTTAGTGGAGCAGTGTTTGGAATCCCAGAGAGACCGGCTTCCCCGGTAGGAGCTCGATCAGTTGTGTTTGCTCCTTGACCACCAATTGGAACAGCAACTTCAGCTGTCACTGGAATACCCTAATGTTTGACAGAAAAAATCTATTACCACCAGAAAATTGGATTCCATCATTAAGTGCAAAAAGGCAAAAGAATGGGGCGACTAGAAAAATACATACAGAGTAGAGGTATTCAACAGCACGTTCCGGGTTGTTGTAAGCGGCACGGAGAGCCCTTTGGACTTTATCTTTGTCCCAACTTCCCCCACCCATCTCCATTAGCTGGTTAATCATTGTGTCAACATTGCTTCCTGATAGATGATTTGATGCTGCATTGTCATATGTGTTAGGAGCCCTAACAAAAAGAAAAAAAAATGTTAGCAGAATTACTAAATGTATCAAAAAAAGAAGTATAGGAAATGGAAATTTCCAGATTCATAAGAGCACTTCAGATCTATCTTCAACATAGTTATTGTACTCACAAATTACAGTTGGGGGTGGTGGTGTTTGTGGGGGGGGGGGGGGGGGGTCGCTAACTCGCATCTACTTGTTATGTGTCACTATAATTCGGCTTAACTCACAGTATTTTTACCTATTGGGCTGTATTAAATTTACACGAAGAAGTTGGAGGCTCTATTCCTGCAAGCTATGGTCATTTTTGCAAGGTTGCATGATTTATGTCTCAAATAACTTCAGTCTCAACGAAGGTTGACATAGTTTTTTCCCCTGATGGAGGATATCTACGGAAACAGTAGTGGGAATTTTAAGTGGTCAAAATCGCCTAATAGCACAGATGTGTGATTGGCAGGCTGGAAATATACTCTGCAGGAAGTCCTTCAGGCTGAGAAGTTGTAGTTGGTGCCACCCTGCAAAAAATGCATCCCATGAGTTTACGAAAAGAATAAAAACAAATGAAGAGGCTAGAGAGAAAGAAAGAAAAGCTATAGCAAGAACTCACGGGGGTTGAGGAGCTTGTTGTGGGGCATCTAGAAGAGGTGCCTGCCTTGTTGCAGGAGTGTTTGAGGGCTAGTAATGGTTCATGCAGTTAGTACATAAGCTGGTAGTTTGTTTTTCCACCCGCAAAGGAAATAACTCTACCTGGGAAGATGAAGTTCCACTTGAACTAGATGTTTTACCCTGCAGAAAGCAGAGTGGATAAGTATGAATTTATATGAAACAGAGCAAGAGTACATACAGGGAAAATGTTGAATAAAGGATAACACGTGCTGAGTGATGGTGCTAAAAGATATACCATTCTACATTAAACATATCATTCAAGGAACACCCAGTACCAGAATGTGTATTTCCATATCATGTACTTTTTAACTGTGATACAAAAGGAGTACTTTGTGTTATAGGTTTATAGCTACTACGGGATGGAAGGTGGTATGAACCTTAGTTCATATCGGGGATAGGGAGGATAACCATTGCCAAGAGGAAGGCCGGGCAAAGTCGGCGTGAAGGGAGACTAGAATATTTGGGGGTAACTGGATTGTTTGTTGTTCATTGCTTGATTCAATCTCAACTGGTTACAGGGTATAAATAGAGGAGCTCAGCCCCTAGGCGCCCAGCCTCTGGCTCCTTGTTTCTCTCCCCAACATTAATTCTAATCTCTCATTAACTCTAATCTCTTCCCCAGACTCTAATTGCCATTGATTACAGCCGGCACCCCTGGGATACCGTCCTGGCTGCATGCAGCCGGTCCCCGGATGCCCCACACGACAGAAGGATAGTATTAAACTATGCCAGATGATCAGCAATAAGTGCAGAGCACCACTGCAGGTCAAATAATGTTTCAGACAGATTCACCTTTGGCAAATAACTATATTATATTTTGTACCTAAATTTAACTTTTCTTCACATGTTACAATTCATCCTTTTTTGTATTATATCTGTAAATTTTGCATCAAGTTTTACACTAAAATCAAGTTGTTACATTATCAGATTAAAGTTATGGCAAAT